GCGTGGAAATTGCCTCCCTACATATAGCTGTTTTGAAGAAGGATACAAAAGTTGAGGAGGCTATATGCAAGATATTTCAGGACACAGAAGAATCAAAGAAAAGAAAATCTGATCTATATAGATCAGCGCGATGAGTTTGACAATTACTGCACCATCGTATGCATTATCAAAGGTTTCCTTATCCCTGCTAGGGCTGATATCGACCGCAGAGATCGCTTTTTTACGCCTCTAATATACGAATGCTGTCAGGGAGATGAGGAAATAAATTTATATTTGCTGGACTGTGGCGCCGTTGTTGCCGTCCGCAACTTCTTCGATCTATCTGCACTAGAGTTTATCAAGCTAGAGAACTGTCAGAAAAAATATGATTTACTTCAGCGACTAGGATATTCTGCTGGCCGACCACAGCTTGATACGGCACTTTTGTATGCTTTCAACACCTCGAAGGACCCTGCCCGGTTCTAATGCAGTGTGGTTAAATTGTTTTGATTGGTAGTCAACTTACATGAATAATCTACTAATTATCCATACATAATTCATCCGAAGCTTAGGCGGGCGCAGTAGCTAGACCAAAGCCGTAACCCCGCTTGCAAATAGAACGCATGCAATGGCTAATAATGGAGGATTTTGTATACATTGAAGAATTGCACGACCGGTATCATTAGTGTTCAATAACTTTTCTATCTAACCTGACTGTTACAATATGGTAAAGGTGCCAGGTACCACAAGAAAATTAGCTAGCAAAGCCCAGTTTACGACACTATTCGTAAGGTTATATCACATCTCCGTATTTCATCCTCTTCCAGCATTTTCATATAACGAAATTCGGCAGGGTAGTGCTTATCTATTATTTGCACAGATACATTACGAACAGTAGGAGAGCGTATCAAGACCTCCGATGAAGAGGGGCTTATTGCAGACAAGTTAGTAGTTCAGGACCTTAGGGACAGAGTTTAGCACCACAAGAAAGCACACGCGGGATCCAGGATTTCATTATAAACAAGTTCTTGACTTTGTTTGGAATCTACAATTCATGCCGTGGGAGGGTTTATAAAGAAATTATAGATATCAGATAACGGGTGCAACGCCAGTATCGCTCCGGAAGCCACTATATTCCCGTCTAAGAAAATCAACTCTTTAAGTCTTTAAGATATACCTAACGTGGAACTTCACGAACGCTATAAAGCACAGAAAATAACCTGTTACAATCCACGTATAAATCTCGATGGTGGCGTGGGTAGACCGTGTTAATGAGGATGGACTTTGGTCTTTATGTAGTTAACTTTTCTTGACTCGAAGCACCCCAAGTTTCAATTTCTACACCGCCTTCAATTTGTCGGAGGGTCAAGTCGAATTCGAGCTTTACGCGCCCTTTTCCCTTTAAACAACGTGACCCGTCATAGTAGTACAGGTCTCGTAGATCTCCACATTAGTACTTCAATGCTTTCCCGGTTACTCTACGCAGTTGGTCAGGTCACCCATGTGGTAGAATCCTGCTTATGTATATGCGAGTACTAGTACTTCTTAGGCTTGAGTCTAATTATTTCGCGGAAGACATCTATACCCTATATGGGACTTTAGGCTCTTGTACCCCGTAATTGCGGGCAAAACTGCGGCAATATAGGCTAAAACTCCAGAATGGCCTTTCTTCACGGTTCGACCCCCTTAATCCCCCCTCATACCCCGGAGTATATTTTCTTACTCTCTTTCTCACTCCGCAAATTTCCCTTCATGAACTACTGAACTTGGCACCACCGAATCATGGAGCCGATACGAGAACAGCATGAAGACCGGGAAGCATTCCTTCCCAAGGATCCCGAGGATGATTCGTTCCTAGAGAAGAATTCACGAGAAATGCCGTCGGTTTGGAAACGGCATAGGCGTTTGATTTTGGAGATCGCGATGACATTCCTGATTGTTGCTTTTTTCCTCAATTCCCTCTCCAACAGAACAACACAAAAAGCATCTCCAATACCGAAATGTACGTTTTTATTACGTATCAACAAAGACTAGCATTTAATTACGATGACTGAAAGAAAGCCATAAAGTTCCAAGAAAGACCTATACATTTACCAGCAATCCAAGATACCTACACGACGACATGTTTTCCAGCAGAAATGAAACGATTCGTACACTTCATAACTGGATAGAGCTGAGCGCAAGTAAGTAAATAATCTCCTCGATTACAACTGATAAATTTATGTACAATAAACTAATAAAAATCCACTGATCTAGCTGGCAGAGGATATATAGGAGTAGACAATCCGGAGTCCTTTGACCTGCCTGAGCCGTACAGCGTGAATTTGCATTTTCAAGCCAAGCCAGCATACATGATGTCGGTCTTTCACCAGCTTCATTGCCTTGTACGTATAATTTGAAAAATCAATCAACAAAATCATCTGCTGATAATACTGTTCTAGTCATATATTGTCCAGCGATATCAAACGGCATTTGACGGAGCAGAATTAACCCATGAGATAGCCCATCACTCCGCGCACTGTTTCGACTATCTTCGACAGGCAATTATGTGTGCTGCAGATACCTCTCTAGAGGGAAAAACAGAGGCGGGGCCTGGATGGGGTTCAAACCATGAGTGTACGGATTATGATGCGTTGTTGGCATGGGCGGACAAGAGCTCTATAAATTGGCTCCCTGGAAACCTTCCCGATGAAACTGTACTTTAAATGATCCTTGATGCTTGATGGTTTCCGACAATCGCACTACTAATATATTAAAATACTGGAAGTGAATACTAGATCCATTCATAATTGTAACCTTATGTTCGACAAGGAAGCAGAGAATTCATCCAAACCGGACGCCAGGCTGCTGTCGAAGAGATATGTTGACAGGCTACGTTCGTGTCCTGTGGAAAACTTTAAAGATTTTTCTCTGGCTAGTGTTGATGATTGAAAATGGGGGTACTAATTTCTAGAACGTCAAAGGAGCGGCAATCTAAAAAAAACAGGTTGTAAGTGTCGAACTGGGAAATGTCATAATTGCTCAAAGCGAGAGCCTCCTCGAAAATATCCTCATCCGTGGAGACGTTATCGGACCCGTCAACCACCGGGGGCAAGTTCGGATTCGGATACGGCCCGTCATAATCATCCAGACTGACGGGACACTCGTTGAACCAGGTGTTTGCAATCACGGTTACGGGGTATTTAGATCCCCGGTATTCGATGGTTTGAGACCCTCCCTTTCACGATGACTTCAGCAAACCCGGTCCAGTTCGTGATCCGAGCGTGTAAAAGTTTTACCAGTGACCTCCACAAGGCCGCACAGTCCGTCCCAGGGCGATCCCTGCGTTGCTCTATTGACGGTGGTTACGGACAAATCCCGAAATTTAGGACTTTTGACAAAGTCATACTTATTACCGCGAGCAGTGGCGCAAGCTTTACATTTCCTGTCGCGTTGGACCTGATTAAAAATTCAGCGATGAAAAGGGCTACGAAGAGTATTGATTTTATCTGGATTATTCGGCACCGTAGTAAGTTACGGTAACCTCGATTTTGACCAGATGCAAGTGCTGATAACACGAAGACACGCTTGACTGGTTCAAGAATGAACTAAAGCACATTGTGATGAGCCACATGGCCAATGTGGTTATATACGTCACTCGTGATCCCAGTTTGTCTCCTGCGCTGGCCCAGAATGCTACTTGCAGCGATCTAGAAAAAGGCCTTGCGGACAGCATTGAAGATACAAGTTGGTTTGAGTCTACAGAAATAATAAACGATCACAGCAGGGGGAAAGTAGGCTAACCTATAGGCCGCTATTAGTCAAATCTAAAGACGCAGCTATATACATGGAACGCGTGGCAGAGGAACGCCTAGTTAGGGAAAGCTTAGCTACTATCATAGATAGCACGGCTTCCATCGTGGATGGCCCAGCTTCTATCGTGGCAGAGCCTACATAGCGCAGGGCTAGCCAGAACGCATCAAAGAAAGGAAGACCTCGTAATTCTCCTCCGCTAGCTATAGTGCAAAGGAACCTGCGTCGGCGACGTCGAAAATGATGAATACTATGCATTTTTGCTAGTACTATGTCCTATATTCATGTACTTAGAGAGCAGTAGTGAATTGATTGTATTTTTTTGGGTGTATAAGATCTATTTCCAAGACCTCTGTGATAATGCATGAAAATTAGGTAGTGGTGTAGAAGAATTCAACAGCGATGGGACGGGGGCCAAATTTTAATGGAACTTAGTTAAATCGGAATTCTGCCAGTAAAATCTGAATAATATTTATGCACTGGAGAATGGCCGCTACGCACCGCCGTAAATGGGACAGCTTAACCTGCACCTTTTCCGTTTGTTCTGGTTTCCTTCTTCAATCAATCAATCAATCACTCTTTACCTGATGATTCCGGTAGTCCTCATTCGTCCATAGGCATACTAGTATATACCGATTCAGCTCGCTTTCTGGTAGCACAATTGAGCCCTCGGCGCCATCTTATCTGGTCGGCCGCGGTAGCCCCATGTACAAGAAGAACCAGCCCCCCTCGGGCCCGCTAAAGTAAACTGCTTGTCAACTTGGAGTCTCGGTCCTGGCAGTCATTCTTTAGTAGTTTGTGTATTTTCTCATCGGAGGAATCGTGCAATAATTGTTCCGCCGAGGGATCGCCAGGTGAGCCTTCTTGAGGGGGATAATTTCGGGAGACATCCAGTCATCCACTCAGACGGTGCTCGCGGCTCGCTCGCTCGCCGGCAATATCATAGTGCAGTCTACTCACGATTGCTGCTGTGGGGGTGTGGGTGGGTTTCTGAAGATCCTCCGAAGAAAGTTGTCCCGAGATTGCCAGCAACCCAGTCCGAAGGCCATTAGCATTTCCACCCTTGGGGAGACACTACTAGGCAGGCTGCCTGCCATCTGTAATACTTGTCCTCCAAGTGGCCATCCTCTGCTCGTAAATAACCCAGAGATTCCACCCTTACACTGCCCCTCCGACGCCCTCGATACACCCACCATCCTCCTTGACAACTGCATCCGCCGCCAATCACCATGGCCAAACTCGTCTCTGTGGTGGTCATCGGCGGCTCGCACGCTGGCCTTGCAGTAAGCCAGAAGCTGCTCCGGCAGACGGCGCGAGCAAAAATCACCCTCATCAACCCTTCGGATGAATACTACTTCAACATCGCCGCACCGCGCTTCCTTGTCAAGCCCAAGAGCCTGCCACCGAGCAGGTACCTGTACTCCATCCCCGACGCGTTCCGCGACTACCCAGCGGACAGATTCACCTTCATCAAGGGCTTGGTGACCGAGATTGACTACGCGACCAAATCCGTCTCCGTTACCCTGGCCATGAATTCTGCTGGGGCTACTACTACTCCTCCCACTGCGGCGTCGTTTGGCTTCGATTACCTCGTGATTGCATCTGGAAGTACGACGCCTGCGACGCTTGGGCAGGCAGGGGTGCGACTCCCATTCAAACCGACAGCCTTTGAGGATACCAGGAAAGCAATACACGAGGCGCAGGAGAAGCTCAGCGCCGCGCAGCGGATCCTTATCGGTGGTGGGGGGCCCCTCGGTGTCGAAATCGCCGGGGAACTAGCCGAGGCAGCGGGTCCTAAGAAGGTCACCGTGGTGTCCCGGACTAGCGTGCTGTTGGAGGGGGCGACTGCCCCTGTGCAGAGAACCGCGTTATCGCTCCTCCACCGGCGCAATGTCGATGTCCTGACCGGGGTCACGGTCGTCGACGCGGTGTACGAGGCTCACACCCAGACCTGGACGGTGAAGCTGTCCACGGGGCGCACGTATACCGTTGATGCCTATATCGCTACAACGGGCACCATACCAAATAACGCCTTTATCCCAAAGAGCTTTCTAAATGCGCAGGGCTGGGTCAATGTTGATAAGGAGCTCCGCGTCCTTGACAATGGAGTCAGCCGGAGTGACACCTATGCTATCGGGGACATTACCAGTTATCCGTACCGACTGCTCTCGCGAGTGCCTCTTCAGGGAGAAACTGTGGCAGCCAACATTGTGGGGGCGATTGAGCAAAAGGGGCAGGTTGCCACGTACTCGGCAAAGGCACAAAAGAAGATGATGGTCGTCCCTGTGGGGCAGTCGACGGGGACGGGACACCTTGGGGACTGGACGCTGTTTGGATGCCTGGTGTGGTTCTTCAAGGGTAAGGACTTTTTGACGTACAAGGGGCCTAAGTTTCTGCTAGGGCAGTCGAGTTGATTCTGCGAGCTAGTTGGTTAATATTGTTAGTAGTGATATGGTCAATATTAGTAGTTACAATCTTCCCCTATTACACCCCACCCTAATACCCCTATCGACTTGGCCTTGTTATCTCCAAAGTCGCTGGACAGCTCCGATCCCCAGACGGACAACGGGCCAACAGGTTCCCTGCGTGTCGGATTATGCCGGTTGACGACACCCCCGTCGGCATAATGCTCAATCCTGGACTGCGAACTATTATACTAGTAGTCGAAGATCTAACTGCGCAGGATGTGCCGTCCCACCCCCTAAACACTATTTTGGCTAGGTAATGGTGCCCTATGAGCTGTGTGCCAAAGTCAGCCACCTCAAACGAGGTGTGGTGACGTCTTGCTCACGGTTGGCGACGCCCGCTGCAGGAAGGACGTGTGGTTGCCCGTGTACTCGTCGCCTAGGTCTAGGTGCATGAAAGTCATGACGTCCCTCTGCTCGAGCTGCAGGAGATACAGGGTGTCCGAATGTACAAAGTTGAAGTTCCCCGTGTAAATCTCCAGCTCCGTCTCGAATTCCTTGCGCACGTACGCGTAGTGGCATAATTTGTGCACCAGCGCCGGCACGTCGCGGTACCGCTGGAACTGGCCCTTGCGCCGCGGCTTCTCGAACGGGCTATTAAAGGGCCCCTGCGAATCGTGCGTCGCTGTCGGCAGCGTCTTCTTCTCTTTCTCCCCGACCTCGCGCTCCTACTGCCCGTACACCACGTGCAGAAAGGTCCCATTTGGCCATTCAAATGTACTATCTCCCCCCCCCCAACAGCCTGGGGCGTTTTCTAAAGATTTGGGAACTGCGCCAGACATGGCGGCCGCTTTGTTGAAGCTCTCCTCGTCCTTTGCAACATAGGCCGCGCCCAGGAAGCGTGATCGCCCGGTTGGGCTCTGAGACGCCACGTGGATGTAAGGGTCGTCGCGGCCATACCCACGATAGTAGATTGTCTTGCCCTTCTACGTGGCCTCGATAAGCCAAAGTCCTTGCCGAATTTGATGAAGGCGTCCAGGTCGGCATGCTCAAAGTAGACGTGGGCGATACGCCTTAGCTGGACTTTGACGGGCGAGTTCTCGACGACGGGGGTAATGGACTGGTGGAAGATCCAGTTTTGCTATTTCGAGGGGAGGAGGGCGATCACGTCGAGCAGCCAGAGGGACATCGGTGCGTCTTCGTTTTTACCCCTGAATATACGAACATGTTTGTTTCGGCAAGCAGGCGAGTGAATCAGGCTCTACAGGACAACGAGGATTGAGGATGCGTTCATCTCACGACATTGCTTTCCTCTATGTGATGTTTTATACGGCTGTCGTCCGTAAGGACACAGAAGACACCGTGGCTTGTGACGACCGAGGCCCTTGTCTTGCAAAGTGGTGCATCTGAATTGCCGCCGTGGAGGGAAATGGAGAGAGCAATCGGACCATGTTTGAGGAAATGGTCCAGTTCGACCAGGGGCATATCGCGACTCGGAGATACGAACATGTCCCCATTATGTGGCGGCTGCACGATCAACCCCGCAAAAGATTATTCCCGGACGAACTGTACACCCTGAGCCGGAGGAACCACAGTTCTCACTCACGCACATACCAAAGCCACGTCCACAGCACCGAACTACTCAATTTAGATCTCCAGTCTCGTCCCTGCGATCCCAATACTGCATGATTTACTCCTCTAAGTTCGGGCCTGGCACAACTAGTTCATTCCAATATCTGTGTCATTTCGAGACAAACGACGGCTCGAGGCTGTTTACGAATTGCTCTTCTACCAAGCCCTCGATTGGAACGCTGGTTGACGCATACCCGACGTACAAGGACATAGTGCAGGGTCAAAATGCGACAACCTCCACGGTAGCCAAGGTCGGTGTCACTTCATGCCTGCCAACAAAGAGTGAACTGCGCGGCTTACCGGACAGTGTATGGCTTCTCCCTCCTCTGCCACAAACAGGCACCTCGATCTACTGCGTCGGATTCAACTATGGGAGCCATGCGACCTAAGCGAATGTACGTAACCAGATAGGTAGCTATCATGGAAATAGTAATGCCTAATATTCTCACAGCTCAAAGTCCCCGCTAATCCGCCTGTATGGACCAAGCCGCCGGCTGCGCTCGCCCGCCTAACGAGACCACCCCTATCAGCCGCTTCTGCGCCTCACATCTTCCCGACGGGTTGAGCCGGACCTCCTTACCTTACCTCTAGGCCACAGTCGCAGTCGCCGTTAACACAGAAACCAGGGCGAGCTCGTCTTCGTGACGTCGCGCGAGTGCTGCGACATCAACCCCGAGAAGGCCCTCGGGTACATCCTCGGCTACACAATCAGCAACGACCTCACGTGCCGCTTCTTCCAGCTCCCCGAGCGGTCCGGCGGGTAGTTCTTCTACGTAAAAGCGTTTGACAAGTTTGGGCCTATCGGGCCCGTCCTGGTGAGTCCCAGCGTCTTTGCCAAGCAGAGAGCGTCGGCCACGCTCGTTACCCGGATTAATGGGAATGTGAAGCAGAATACCGTGATTGACAAGGACATGATTTACCCTCCGGAGAGGGTTCTTAGCTGGATGAGTCAGAGTAAGTCCACTTATCTACTCCCGACCTCGCGAGCTAGCAGGCTTCTAACAGCAGATCCAGGCATAACTATCCCAGCCTACAATGTTATTATGACCGGTAACCCCGCGGGGTCGGTGTCTTCCAAAAACAGCGGCAACTTCTTAAGGACGACGACTAGGTCGAGATTGAGATTTCGGGGCTGGGGACGTTGAAGAACGTGATTAGGTTCGAGGAGGGCCAGGATTCTATTATGTGAGGATACACGCTATATATATATATATATAGGATGAGCGCGCACTTGCACAATAACGCTCACCCCTATGAATGCTTTTTTTAGAAAGATCTGTGGTGCGATTGTGCTTGATTTTGTTGTAGTATGAAAGGAAGCTTAATTCTTCTTCTTGAGGGAATATATGAGGCTCTATACACAACGTGAAGTCCAAGTTGATTTCTAATCAACTTGGTTCTTCTTATACATAGAGCAGGAATTATTCCGATGTTGCGGCTTTATTCCTGAGCAGCCTTACAGCACAACAGTTTTAGTCTGTAAGCCGAGATCTCGGCCCGACGGTTCACTAAGCCCAGTAGGGGAATTTAACTCCCTAATCCGGGGGTTCAACTACTTTAAGAATCAAGATCTCAAGATTTAATGGCCAACGTCCGGTAATGAAGGTTATGGATAAAACTAGCTATAGTATGCACCAGTTTTCATAGACCTTGCTAGAACAAACTCTAAGATGACGATGATTTGGTAGTATTCTGGTAATTAGAGAATTACTGGGTGTCAACATGCGGAAACATATATTTTATGTCGATTGAAGCAAGTATATCTTTCTAGTGAAGTGTAAATTTAACCGCCACTTTCTCATTCGTGGGTTTATATGGTTGAAAAGATAGCTAATCCTCTCTTCTCTACACCTGCGTTTATATATAAGTGATAACCTGACGGCTTCAGAGGTGACGGAGTTTCAAAACTATACTATAAGCTAAATGGGCGAGGAGATGGGCTATTCTTGGGCTATCTATGGGCTTTGAATGGGCCGAGTCCACTTGATATGCACCATATAGCTAATGAGATACTAGCATCGCGATTACCCGTTAAAATCTCAACCAGTACTATAATGATCCTCCGTTTATATGCTTTGTTTGCTGCGTCGACAGTTCTCTCACTAAGGAGGTGGGTCATGTCCAATTCTCCCTTCACCACCCTAGTTCCCTTGAACTACTCCTACTATACCACTTTGAAGTTCGAATTCACTGTCAATCGACCATCACTGATCATGTCGCAAAGCCAGCAAACTGAGGTTGAATCGTCTAGTCGAGTCTATTCGACTCTGAGCCCGACGACATATCATTTATTACACCTTCCAACTGCCCATCTACCCCGTCTATCTCTTGGAAAGCTCACAGCCTCTCGTTCGTTCAGCCGTCTGTTCCTTCGTCTGTCACCCCAGATCCCCTCGAACGCTTCCAACGTGTCGGTCCTGGCAGGAGAGGCCAGTTTTTTCTATACAACGGGATGAATCCCGGCGATTAGGTCGATTGGTGGTTGGAGGCTGACTATAGATCAAATAACAAGATCACTTGGGAGTCGTAGTATAGTTCTGCTTCGGAGACCTAGAAACAGTTTGAGCAAGTGGCGCATACGGGCGATAGGAGCCCGAAGGGTATGTGATACAATTTTTGAGTACCCTTATGCTACAAAGAAGATGCTAATGAGAGGGTTGGTCGTCACGATTTAAGTCCGAAACTCAAATGCTAAGCTAAGTCACTATCTCAATTCTTCTAAATCAATCAACTGCGGAAAATAGGATTTCTCTATCAACTGCTGAGTGGTGACGTAAGCTCCAGAGTTATAGTAATGTATCTGATTGCCAAACTATTGTTAGAGCTATTTATCTTTCTTCCCTAGCTATATTAAACCCTACTATTGCCTGTCGGGAGAATATAATCTGATTGAGTAGCACATTGTGACGAGACATACAGCTATTTTCGTCGGCTGTGGATACCAGTAGGTTATATTAATCACGCTTCGTGGAGTAGAGTCTGTTGCCAGGAACACTATGACCGTAAGAACTTTCGTTTATTCTTCTGTTCTCCGATTTCGCTACCTTCGTTTATGGTATAGTAAGCGATCGATACCTTCTATTTGGCAAGCAACAAACCGCAGCAAAACTATTCTTCTGCCTTGTTTAGTCAATAGATGCTAAACCGTCAATGCCATAAGGGGCAACTTCTGAAATAAGGAGATAGAAAGTATATTTGTCTTGTATATATTGAACGTCGGTTTCTTCACCAAATAAGACAGTGGACCTAATCTGGAAACTTTCCATCCCGGGTTTTCATTAACACCCGAATACGGAATTTGTACTATCCCTATCAAGACCCGTGGCAGTGATGTGCTGAGCCTACTTCCTTAAGAACGTGACGTGACGTGCCCCTATTCATAATAGACTAGTGAGCGTAGGCTTAGGTCTAGTAGCTCAAATCGGCCGAACGGGAGGCACCCGAGAAATGTCTGGACACAGCGGGCCCCTAGGGTATCTCAAAATTATTACTTAGTTCCACTATTTGTTACGCTTTGATGATCTTCGTGATCCTGAGGGGCTTTTCGGAGCTTGTTTTTCCAACTAGTGTAAGAACGCCTCGGGAAGTTTCCCTCCGCAGGTACTATGTATTACGCAAGGACCGGGATTATCCCGGTAGTAGCCAAAAGAGATCTGGCACTAACCGTGGTTTTGGATGGGTGGGAAATGTGGCGGTGAGACCAGGGAAAAGACCGGAACCGTCCCGGCAACTCGAAAACTAGATTTAAAGGTAGCTATGGAACGATAAACAAACCAGCGGCCTCCTGTCCGACACTAAAGATTGCTAGCCTGGGCTACTGTTACAGGGACAAATTCTTGCGCCGAGATTTGGCTTGGTTTTATTCGCTAGAAGTACTATATCTTCTCAGTAATAATACCAAGATACGTTTGTAACAGTTCGAAAACGGGTATACAACTGCTTGGTATCGATAGACATTTTCAATTTCCACTATAACTTATATATGAATTCAAAGATCCACTTTACGCTGACGTATGCCCCCTAGTACAAAAACAATTCTTATTGACAATAGGGGCATTCACTTAAGTTCTACCTAAGACGTATTAATAGTATTTGGGCCGCTGTTTACTGGAATCGTAATCTATTTTCGCGGATGAGGTATCTTACGCAAGGAAAAAATGTGGGAGAGAAAGAATCTTCTTTATCTATCGATCTAGGAATCTCTTAAAGCTAGGAGAAAAACACGACGGGAGGAGATGATATAGCCGTCGAAGATCTGAACGAAACTTCCTGACCACAAGAAGAAGGGGATTTGATTAACAATATATAATTCAAGTCGACGGAAAGCTACCTGCTTACAAGGAAAACAGGGGATATAGAAAGAAGCTGATCCTGGATAAAGAATCTAAACTAGGCCGGAAAGGAAGAAACTCTGTCAGAGAGCTTTTCCTGTATTCTGAGCGACGGTAAAGATAGCTTTCAGCGGCTATTTCGGCGTATAAAACTCTCCTAATAGCGGTGGCTCTATTCTAGCTATTATAGATACAATTTAGTTATTAGCAGCCGACCTATTGTTCGATGCTTCGGACTCGTAATTCTTATAGTTATGTGATAAGAACGCTTCACTGATAGTTAATAATTGTGAATCCCTACTCCTGCTATTATAGGTTATACAAAACTACCGTATCTACGATCGGTAGTGACTTATATAAAAAACCCCTTTTGATTTTGCCTAGGCAATAGCCGCGGCAGGAAAAACATTATATATTCTATTTGCTGTTAGTAGGGTCTAGATTTGTAACGAGTCGTATACATTAGTTAATATTTGATAGTGCAGAAGGGTTGTTAAGAGCACGCTTATTCCTATAAGTCGTTCTATCAAATAAAGACTTGTGCTTCAAAAGGTTTAAACCGGAATTAGAAGTCTGTAAGTACCCGCAGCGTATAATGAATCATTATTTACTGAATACTTCAATGAAATCTGAACACCAAATTTTATTAGAGGCCCCTTAGAGCCTTTGCTATTTATATAAATAAAAAGTATATTTCTTTCTAGATAAAGTCTTGTCGAGGATACTTTCGTGAAAATAGCGTACCGTTAGATTGTGAATATAAGTATCTATTCAGGCGTTTAGGAATTCTGATAGGTGATAGTTATTAGTATAGCTCTGCCGGTATAACTGGGCGCTATTGTAGAGCATCACCGGCTATAAGCCTACACTAATATCAAAATTGCTGTAGTCTGTGTCTCAAAATAAGGTTCTTAGGATTTTGTCTTAGGACTTGTGGAGAGATTTAAGGATGCGTATCCGAGAATGCCAAGTACTCTTGAAATTGTACCTCGATCGCTATCGCGGGAGTATATAGATAATCTGTTCAAAAAAGGACATAAGACGAATCGGTGACCTCTAATTAGACCTGGGCAGAACCTATGGGCCGGCCCAAATGGGTCAACCCATTTAGGCCCATGGGCCGAAAAATCGATTTCCTGCCTATTCGTGGGCCGGCCTATTTGGCCCATTTGACCTATTTTAGGGCAAAAATCAGTGTGCATATAGCTTTCATAGCTTATGCAATTTACGCGAACTATTGGCTGTAATGCTACCGTAACAAGATTAAGTATACTTCAGTTGAAAGGGGGTGTTTTAATATTACTACAGAAATAAACTATATCTCATATCTATCTAACAACCTTGAACGCTTTCGAACTCTTCCTGAAACGCGCTGTGTGTTTTGCTTAGGCAAATCAGGCTCTCCTTTATGCGTAGGCTCCTCCTTAGGCTCGTCCGTAAGCTCTTCTATAGGCTTAATACTCCTTCGCCTCTTCGAATTATATTGCGAAGGGCCCTCCTTATTGTCACTAATCTTTATAATATCCTCTTGCGTACGCTTATCTATCTCTTCTTGTTAGAGCTCTCTCTCAGACTCACTTGCGTACTCTCGAACGAAAGCAAGCTGCTCCTCTTCTAGATCAAACCGAATACCATATATAAGAAGCATTAGATCCTAGATAGTACTCGATTGTAGTAAGCCACGACGATAGTGGCAGATATCGCGCGCAGAGTTAAAGAGACGCTCTACGCCTGCGCCTATAGCTAGGATAGAAAGGGTATCTCGAGCGAGAGCTGCGAGTACTAGAAATCTATGCTTATAATCTCTCTAGTATTTGCGCGGCGGTACTAATACTGTGCCTACTTAATGAATTAAGAT